TCAACCAGGATTGTAAAATTAACCCTAGCCGCCTACCTCTCATTATATTTATACTTAACTTAAAGGATGAGATATTACAAGGATGCCCTTAGTAGGGCAGCTACTAATATAGCTGAACAGTCACAACTTAAGAAAACATAAACTAATGGGCCTAAACCCCAACAACTTCCTAACTAAATAAAAAACAACTCGGACCAACTCGACAGTCATCACCTTAGATGATTTTAATGTGTACAAAATAATGATTTTTCTGGTTGTTTATATATATATTTTTTATCAGTAACACAAAAAACAGAATTCTATTAAAGATTAGCAAGAACAGAACACAACAAGAAGCTGTGAGAAGATGAAACCCAATACAGGATTATTCCCCCTCTATATTACAATTGTGCCCAGTACATAAGTTATCTTTGAACCCCATGCTTTTTCTAAGCTATCTGCCAAGCTGTTAGCAGATCTCCTAACCCATCTTATTCAAACATTTATATCTTTTGAAAGCCATTTGAGTGCCTGAACTCATTTCTAAGCTGCCAGATCACCCCGTCACCTTTTTTCAGCCATCCCACTACAATCTTTGAGTCACTTTCAATGACCAACCTACCAATTCCCAATTCTTTGGCTTTCTCAACCACAAAAACTGCTGCTAGGAATTCTGCTCTTACTGAATCACCTTGCTGAATTGGTCCTGAAAACAATGCACAGATAGCATCACTCTCATCACTAGTCCCCCCTCCAATGCCTGAGGGGCCCTGATTGTTCTGGTTGTTTATATTTTCAAGCTGCTTTATTTGTATGGACTATCTCTTTTTCTTTTTCCCCTTAAGACTGTGCGGCTGTGATTTGTGTTAATTTTCATTCCTTCTTTCTAGAATGAAGTTTTTCTTTTCTCAATAAAATCCCTCTTATTGTAATCTTATTGCTACATGGTAGGAAAGTTCAGTAACCTGACTTAGTTAAGCTTATAATTTCAACTTGATAAGTTGGCGTTGCTGACTTGGCAAGTTAATCTTTCTATTATAGGAGATATTTATTTTTTATTAATAAAAATGATGCTAATAAATATTTCTGAAATGAAATATGTATCATTATATTTTCGTTCTTAATCCAACAGCATAAAAATTTAGAATCTAGTAACTTAGATGGAAAAAAAATTATAGTAAGTATGAAGAAAGAGAATGTTAATTAAGAAGTTTCTTTCTAGTGCCTTAAAATTTAATTAAATATTAGATCCATAATTTTCTTATTTAGATTTGGTTTAGATTCCTCCAAAAAGATTTGATTTAGATTTTTTTTTGATCAATAACAATGAATTTTATTCATGACTGAGAAAATCAGAATTACAAGGGAGGGAGCTAAAAATTCTTAACTCCCTACTATCCAAAGTACACCCAGACCATGAAACAATTACAAAATAGCCCAAAAGATGGTGTTTCTATTCACCCCCTGCCTATCTAGCCCGTCTGCCAATGCATTTGCACTTCTTTTTATCCATGTACACTGAATTTCCATGTCCTTAGTGAGCCACTTGAACTTCCTCTTTTCATTGTTGTATTTCCAGAGCATAGAACTGTCATCTTTTAGCCAATTCACCACTATTTCAGAATCACCTTCTATGATCAATTTTTTAATATGCATTTCCTTGACCCTTTGTATCCCTTCAAGAGCTCCTAAGATCTCATCCCTCAGGGAATCACCCACCCCAATTGGACCAGAAAATATAGCTAATAGGTTCCCTTTTTTGTCTCTTAACACTCACTCCCCCTATTCCAGAGGGCCCTGGATTGCCCATGCTGCTTCCATCAAAATTCAGTTTTGTAAACCCATGAGGTGGAGGTGTCTAGCAAGAACTTGAAGTCTTCTTAGTTGGAATTGAATCCGCAATCTCCTTCCAATATATTTTCATCTCATCAACTGAGAACACTGTAAACAATTCCAAAGTTTTCAGCCAATGTATCACCCTTATTTGTATAGTTTCTAGGATTACTTCCAAGCTTCTCTCCTTATCTGAAACTGTCCTTGAATTTCTCTCCTCCCAAATAGTCCAACATACTGCAGCCCTTACACATCTCCACATGATCTTGGCCCTTTTGGTTTGCCCATTGGGCATGGAAGTGAATAAGCTTTGCACATTCAGAGGAGGAGTCCACCTGCACCCAAACAAAGAAGTAAACCATTCCCAAATAACTTTAACAAACTGATGAGAAATTAGTAAATGGTATCCAGACTCACCATCGGATTTGCAGAGAATTCACCAGTGAGGGGACAAACAACTATTGGGTCTTTTTCTTTGAAGTAGATCTCTTGTATTAATTTTTTCCAGAAAGGCTTCCCAATAGAAACTCCCAACCTTTGGAGGTATAGGTTGACACCACACTTCTTTTACAGGGAATGGCAGTCCAATAGGAGAAGAAGGTAAAAGGGCCTTAAAGAAAGAGGCACAATTGTAAGCACCCGATGGAGTGATGTCCAAATTCTATTGTCTGTCTTTGATGGCTCCAAGAAAACCCCTTCAAGGGAGGATAATGAAGCTGAGATACTATCTAACTCTGTATCTCTGACATCCCTTCTCAAACCTAGATTCCAGCTGAAGTCGGAATGTGAGTTAGAAGGTACAGGGAAAGAGGAAACTGGTTCGTTTTTAAGGGTAGAGATAGCAAAGATGCCTGGAAATTGGTTTTTCAAGGAGGAGTCCCCAACCCAAACATGTTCCAAAAAATTAATAAGATTACCTGAGTGTAAATCATACCTGATCCATGGGGAGAACAAGGGCAATATAGTTTGAATAGCTTTCCATGGAGATGCTCTTGTAGTCCGTGTTGAGATCCTAGAGTCCCATCCATTGTCTGCCAGCTCATGAATACTTCCCACTATCTTAACCCACAATCTTTCTTTCTCCAAGGTAAATCTCCACAGCCATTTCCCTAGTAATCCTTATGTTCCCAATTCCCAAGCCTCCCTCCTTCTTGCTTCTACATACAACCTCCCACCTAACCCTATGTTTTAGATTTGAATCTTAACCGAACTGGTAGAAACCACTTTTTTAAGAACTATGATATTTTATATGAACCAAGACTGCAGCATTATACATTATTTTAGGGTTCTTTTGGAAAACCAAATTTGGCCAAGTGATACCTACAACTTGGCACGTTCAACCACTTGGTGGGTTTATTTAGGATGAATATTCATCCTGGTGTGTTTTCCTACTATGGTATGATTTGGGGCCTGCAACACTGAGTAGAATCAACACACATCAAAATGGCTTGGTTGGGTGTTTAATTTTAATGTTAAAGTATACAAATTGCAATGTTTAACTCTAAGCAAATAAACTTTGAAGTTGAACCAATGGGCACTTCAAGAGTTGAGTTAGGTGGCATTTAATAAATCTGAAATCTGAAAAGTTAAAAAGATATTAATGGCGTCTGAAATCTGAAAAGAGACAGATGCTTTTCGACTTTTTAGAGGTTCTGAACAGAGAAGGTTGTTTGTGTTGGATCAAACCTTTAGCATATGAAATTCCTTAATTTTACTATTTTACCCCTAGAGCATACTATTTGGTAGTTTTGACTTCAATCTGTACTATTTCATAAAATATAATTTATTAAATTCAAAATTATATAAAAAAATATGAACAAATTATGATAAATATAATTTATTAAATCCACAAAGACTCCTATGCATTTACATTGTGGTAATCAAGCAGCAATTCATATTGCATTAAGCCTTGTTTTTCATGAGAGGATGAAACATATTGAGGTGGACTGTCACTTTGTCAGAGAGAAGGTTCAGGATGGTGACATAGACACTCCATTTGCAAAAATTGGAGAGCAACTAGCTGACTTGTGGACCAAAGCACTACACCGCCCTCGTATTGATTTCATTGTTAGCAAGCTGGGTATAGATACATACACACCTGCTTGGGGGGGGGGGAGTGTTGAGAATACAGATGTATTTGGGTGGTAGGGTAGATTAGACTTTTTACCTTTTAAATAAGGATGCTCCAGTCCACAATTTATCATACAGAAGGCTATTTATGTAAATTATCTTTTTATTGTGTAAATATATAGTGGGCCAACTGTTTTTAGGAGGATTTAAGTTATCATCAACAGGGTTCTCTTCTCCTTCTACCGTGTATTCTATTTTTCTCTCTTCTTTCCCCTTCTCTTATTTTCTTGTTGTTTTCTCTTACTGATTTACTACCAGATACCATATTAATAATGCCTAAAGGAGAACAACCAACTCTACATTTTGTACAGGATGATGTCCCAAGGAGAATATTTGATAGCTAATTTTTTGGATTATTCATTTTGCAAGGGGACCCCAGCAATTCTGTTATTCATAAGATTTAAACATCAAGAACTTAATTTCAGCTGGATGTTATTCCTTAGCTATAAGTGACTAGTGTAATGGGTACATTTAATGTTTTCTTTTCCAAAGAATGAACATAACAAATGACCACAACCACATCATGTTTCACCCTTTATGCATCCCATATCAAACATACTTTGTTACTGATTTTGTTGGCTCCTGTCAGAAAATTGGGGAAGCTGAGGTTGAGAAGGAAAAGGATGTTGATTATCTGTCTTCCATAGAGGTGTGTGTCTTTACATGGTTTTCTTGTTTTCTGGTGCATACAAGCATATTTTGTCATTTTTTAGAAAGCAATGATTGATTTTATTGTTATGAGTAGGTACTGATAATTGATCATGCAGATGTAATAGCAATGCAGGTATGAGACATGATTACCTTCTTCCTCTTGTATTTTGGTTTAAGTACATTGCTTGAACACAGATGTTTATGTTTTATTTTGCAGAATTGGTCTCATGTAAATTCTGTGGTTGAACAACTGAACTGCTTGCCATCAAAGCAGCATGGAACTGATGTCATGCGCATTAGACATTGGTATGTTTTGACTGTTAAGAGATAGATTTTAGATTAGAAAGCATTATCACATGCAATAAAGTACTGTTTGTTTTTATTAGAATGAGTCCAGTATTCTTCACAATAATGTTTTTGCATCTGGGGTGTTTCTCACTGACTCCTTTTTCAGATTGCAAATGAAATTCAATGTAGAAATAATAAATACCAAATGTTACTTTCTTATAGAAATTGATTGGTTGAAGCATTCTTATGTGTCAAGATTAATAATTGAAAACTGACAGAGAGTTGTGGAAGCTCCTGAATCTTCCAACCACATTTTTATCCACTGCAACTTCTCTCAACAGCTTTGAGAAATGGCTCTCTCCTGTTTTGGTGTTTCTTATTGTCTTCCTGCCTCAGTCCTTCAGCTGCTTCAGGGATGGACCATTAAAGGTCGGAATGCAAGAGGCAAGCCGCTTTGGAAGATCTTTCCAGCTGCTATCCTTTGGGCCCTCTGGAAGGAAAGGAACAGCCGGATTTTTGATAATCTTTCCAATGACAGTTTCTGTCAAGAACAAAATTATAGGTTTTCTTTGTTCCTGGTTAGGTGTACAAAGAGCTTTCACTTGAGTTCAGCTCATTCCTTTTTTGCAAGCTGGACTGTTTTTTATCTGATCTATCAGATCTTTTGAAAATTCCCAATGTACAGGTCCTCGTTGTACATGGGCTGGTGTATCTGGTTTCCTTTTGCAATACAATACTTTTAACTTTTTCAAAAAAAAAAAAAAAGTTTGCTAATCAACTGATCAACTTGGCATCTCATCTCATTGCTGTTTGGTTTTTAAAGCATTTTGTTAATTGCTTAGAATCAGCTGATTTGATCTTTTGGTTCATTTTCTTGGTTAGGTATCTTGATGGACAATCGCGGTTCTATAGACAAACCATTGTTTTAGGGTCATTTGTAAACCCAGGTGATTTCAACATCTATTCTTTAATGTTTACATTACTTGGCATATAAACTTACTTTGAAGGTATAGCATAATATGTGAAGAAAGACAGTCAATTATCCACATAAATCACCCTTGTGCATTGTTTGGCATTGCATAATGTTATAAAGTTTGAACTTGAGTTATGCCTAGAAACCAATGTCTTTTTGTCCAAGTATGTGGTATGGAAAATGATGAATTTTTGCCTACATATTCTTCCTACACGAATCATGCATACCATTGAAAGGGTATGTTGTAGTTCATCTGAAGTGTGGAAAGAATTAGCATAAAAATGGATGCTAACAAAATGTATCATTGATTAAAATAACGTCAATATTCATTATATGTTATATTGAGCCATGCAGGAAGAATAAATTGGCCATTAATATTTCTAGGCACAAATTCTACTGAAAGATCACGATGAATATAGCATGCTGATCATCTTTTGCTTTGCACAGACATAAATGCACTTTTCAATAGCCTTTGTGTAAACTATGAAGGAAAGGTATGTCAAATCCTATTCCATTTTATCATCCCTTCCCTAGTAGCTTCTTTGTTTTTTTTTTTCATTTGTTTCAAATTCCCAGGTGAAGTTGATCTCTGAGTATAAAGGTGTTCTTCCAAAAGTGTTGCTTCAAGTGCGGCAGGTGTGTGATTCTTGTATTTGAATCAAACAAATGTTAAGTTATTTGTTGTTTTTTTTTTTTTTCCTTCAGGTATGCATTAAGCTAAGATTGAAATTGAAGCAATATGGTAAGTTTACATAGTTTTTGTTTAACAGTTTAATTTAAAAAGGAAGCCAATTGTATATAGTGTAATGCCTGTCATAGTCATTAACCTGGTTCATTTTTGTCTATTCAGACTTGCTTGTTTCAGGAGATGGAGCATATAGTAATTTTGCTCTTCATCCATTTCATTATGTTTGTTGAATACTTTACTGTTTTCTTGTATTCATTTTATACTTTTTCTTTTTAGTCAAGCTTTTCTGCTTATGGATTTAATGGTAAAGGTATGCCTATAAAGTGTTCATCCTACTGGTATTAGAAAGAGAGAGGATAGTTATCATATACATGGAAGAAATCTATCTGAAAAATAGACTTACATTTCAATTAAAATGCATCTGAACCTTTTTCCTTTATCCATTTTTCTTAGGAGCATTTGGCATCAAATTCTATTGTTACCTATTATTGAGAAATAATATAACTGTTATCCTTAAAAGGCCATAAACTTGTTTTATTATTAAGGTTTTCTCATCAATGTGTAAAGGTTTAAAATGTTTGTGGCAATTTTAACAAGTCAGCATCACAGCATGTACTTGAACTAGTTGGGGGTCATGGGAGAGTGCACAATGGTTCGAGAGAGGGTATTTTTGTCAAAAACATTTGTTAGCTGCATTTTAACTTGTTGGTCAAAATGAAATATCTATATCTACTTGTATCCTTAACCAGAAAGAAATGAAAACACAGAAGAAAAAAGAAAAAGAATTATTTTGAAGGCTTTGGAAACCAATATAACATGGAACAACATTGTCCTTATAGCAGAGATGTTTTCCCTACATGGGATTGTCACATCTTCATGTGGTATAAATTGGATAAAATTAGTATCTCACTATTATGGTACTTCCTATTGTTCAGAATTTTTCCCTCGTTTTTCCTTTCCCTTGTCATCTACATAGATTTATTTATTTTTTATTTTTGTGGAGTCACGTGTTATGATGTATGTTCAAACCTGATTTCAAGTAGCCAAGACAGTGTAATGGCTGTGCTTACCATCAAGAGTAGTGGTTTAGAAGGTAAAACATGTTGTTACCTTTTACTCTTGCAATGGTTGTGATCTGATTAATAGTTATGGCAAGCTGCTTCTCAAAGCAACAAGCATTCCAATGTTCAAGTAACTTCAGTTTGTTCCAAACTGTTGCATGAGTTGAAGTGTCCTTGATCAAGTACAAACACTGTTTCTTGTTACCATTGAACCATATTCACCAAGTTCCACTTTATTTTTTAAATGTTTACATATGCAGATTTATGAGCGTTTTGATGCAAGTTCAATCATTAATGCTGATGATTCTCGGGTAGATTATTTTTCTAAAAAGGTTAGTATAACACAATTCCTTGTTTAGCTGGTGCGAAAACATATATAATTGCCAAAAATAAGTAAATTGTCATGGTTGATTGCCCCCCCCGCCACACACACACATGAAAAAAAAAGTAAAGAAAAAAATTACATAATGTAAAAATAAAATACATGGATTTTTTAATTTTTCCTGGGTATGGGCATCATCATATTTAGGGACCCACTTACCACAATATGATGGGGATCACTTTAGTTTAAATTCTGCTCCATGGTAACACTGATTAACACTGATTGATGAGTTTTGAGCTAAATTATCTAACTTCTTTTTCTAAATAAATAGAATCACTAACTGGATCAAACATAAAAGTGTACCTTAGAATTACACAAATCATCAGAATTTATTCTCTGGAAACATGCCAAATAATACTTAAGCCCAAAACCATCATCAAAGATTAATGCAACTTTGTTTTTGTTGCATTCATCTTGATGGTGGTGGATCGTGATGATAGGAGTGTAGTTTTAGTTTTCTTGTTTCATTGGTTGATAATGCATCCTGAGTTTGAAGATGTGTTTAAATTGCATTTTGGTTCTGATTTGTCATCTCTGTGCTTTTTTTCTTTCTTTATTTCCTTTTTTGGGTAAATTACAAAGCCCCCCTGTACTATGTCAGTGACAATTAACCCCCTGAACTTTCACTTTGTGAAAATACCCCCTGAACTTTCATTTTGTGGCTAATACCCCCTTGGCCATTAAATCAAATGACAGAAGGCATTAAATCACCAAAATACCCATGTGAACTTTCCTTGTTTTCTTTTCCTTGTCCTTTTATCTTAAACCCTTAATGACCCAAAAATACCTCCATTTTCTCCAAATGAAACCAGCTAAAATAACAAGAATCATTGCACTGACATAGAAAAACAAGCTTCTTTAAATTTTTGTTTCATTTCACAAACATGAATGTTTCTCTTCATCTTAAAATATTAAAATTATCCACTGATTTCTCCAATAAATCAAGAAAACCTTAAATTTGTATCTATCAAAAAGAAACCTCTACCATTTCATTCGAATATTGAATCCAGCCAGAAATCTGTAAGGATTTATTAGAGCAATTGAGATCAATATTATATTTAGAGAACTAATTGAATCATAAATCATTCAAATAAATAAGAAAAGGGTAGTTTGGGGAAATTTTAAGCAGCTGAATGAAAATCTTTTTCAAAGCTAACTGATGGAACTCTAACGGAGGGGGGATTTGTTGCTAATGAAAGTTCAGGGGGTAATAGTCACCGACTCCATAGTACAAGAGGGGTCTAATTTACCCTTTTTTTATAGTCCCTCTTTAGAGGTCTCTACACCTCAGCCCACACTTTATAAGTTACATTCTCTGACATCATACACCATTCATATGTAGTTTTTTTTATAAGTCCATTCATATGTAGTTTTCATTAGTCACCCTTCTGCTTCACACGATTCAGCTGGCTGTGAATTTAAGTAACACGAGTTTTTTCTTGCTGTAGGTGTTCCCTAAAATAAAAGATTCAGTTCAGGTACTAGTTTTTTATCTACACTATTAAATCATGTATTGGTGAATTCAAGCCTTGAAAAATAATTTCATAATTGGAATCATACATATGAATATTTTTTTTCTATTCCATGCAAGGTGGAATTATGATTTTTATCAGTTTGTACTTCGAGTTTGTTCGAATTAGGAATTTCTTGAAATCGCAAAATGCATCCTTTTGTTTGCTTGATGAGTAAGAATATTCCTTTCCTATATATATTATTATTTTTTGTAACCACTCTTATTTTCCTTTTTCTTTCCTTTCAAAATTTAGGTACACAAAGCAGAGTGATATATCTCGTGCACGGGGTTGGTTTTTTCAAGGAACAAGAAAGATCATGCTCTATACTGAGAGAGCGCACTTCTATCACAGATACAAGGTTGTTTCTTCTTTTAGGAATATATTATGCTAGTTTGCCCTTAATGTCTACTTGTGTAATTGAAGTTTTGTAAAGCATGTTCAATGTTTCAGATTTGTTAGGCATTTAGCCAAATGCAATGCTGCAATTGACATCCTTGATTAATATGCAAAGATCAGTGTATAAGTTTGTTAATGATGTGTTGTGTGTCATGACATCTGTTTAGACGCTAGCATTGTTGAAATGCTAGGCCATAGTTTCTAAGATGTTGGAGCAAAGGAAAGAATGTTATCATCAATTGTCTACAGTTGCTAATCCAAGAGACAGCCACCACATGACAAACATTTTCTCTTTTTATATAGAAAAAAAAGGAAGATCTTATGTCCTCATAAAAATGTCTTATGCATGCTAAATATGGGGATTAAATACAAGAGCCTCTGCTACACCAATGACCAACCAACCCCGTGGGTTTCTGTCTAAGGAGCTGTTCTGGGTTGCAATAAATTTGGCAGAGAATCCCTGCACTAATATGGTAAGGGCATTATATCTAGATAGAATCTTCTCTGTTTTCTAGTTGGTATATAATAAATAAAATTCTTGATTAGGAAAGAAAAATCATTATTTCTACCTCTTGAGAAAAAATTGAATGCATATAATTTGTTACATTCCAGACTTTGTTGCGTTGAGCTTTACTTAATTTGGGTCAAAGAGTTGTAATGGATTAGATCATCAGATGAGGGGTTAGTTACATGCACAGCCACGTCTCTATGGTTAAGGGTCTATTTGAATAGTTGGCAGGGATACTGAGTTTAACGTAACTCATCACTTGAGTGATAGTTGCTATTAATAATGAGTTAATCTCCACTAGGAGAGTCAGTTAGGGTGAACAGTTACGGGTTTTTGTATTTAATCAATTATTTCATGTGGCTAGGTATCTTGTTATTGACCTGTTTCAATCTAATAAAACTCATTTAAGTTTGGAGACTTCTGGTCAATCTAACCCAGTCTGCCTTACTTTCTTTCTCCACAGTCCACACGAAGAGAGGAACACAACACAGTAGTATTACTGTCTAGCTTGCGGGAATGGGGATCTTATCAATTAATTGGTCGAAAATGAACTTTTATTCTGTGAAGAGTGTTCCCTTTGCTCAGTTAAAACTGAAACAGGCTTAGACTGCAACCTTTGAGAATATTCTGATGTGGAACAATTTTATTTCGTAGAATGTAGAAAAGAGTTATGCTGAAGTAATTCTAAGTAACAGAAAAAGAAAAAGAAAAAGAAAAAGAAAAACTCTCCTAGGGGTCATGCTGGTCTGATTCTGCAAATTTTATGTTGTCATGCTTTCTCAACTGTTATTATTTTTATTATCTTTTTTGTATTTGTTTTCACTTTCAATATTGCGATGATATTATTTATTTTGATAGCTATTCTCATGGTACTTTATTTCACAAATTTTCATTGCGCCCTCACCCTTTCCTTTTCTTTCCCTTGTCGTCATCCATCTTATGCTTAACCTGCCCTCTTTGAAGAGCAGATTCGTGGCATACAGAATTTAATTATATATTCTCTTCCAGAAAGGAAAGAACTTTATCCAGAGGTGAACCTCATTTTATATCTCTTTATTGTTTACCCAAGTAATTTAAACTTCGTTTCCCTGGAATCTGTTCATTATTTTAATCCTGCACGCTCCTTCCCATCTTTACAGATTGTTAATATGCTTGAAGGATCGGATAATATGGCTTGCACTGTACTATTCTCCCGCTTCGATCAGTATAGGGTAATTTTTGTGCAAAACTTTAGTTTATGTCCTTTTTTAAAAGCAGGTCAATTCGTTGGGTGATTTTACTCACATAAATCTTTGATATTTTAGCTTGAGAGAATTGTTGGAACTGCTTCTTCGAAAAGGATGGTGTCATCTGAGAAGAACGTCTTCATTTTCTGTTAGAGGACTATTTAATGTGCTTGGACAGAAATTACCATTATTTCAGCCATAATTTGGAGGTAGTAATCCGTTGATGCTGGACAGTTCAAATTGTAAAATCCTCTCATTTGTGAAAGCGAAGGTCATCATCGGCTGAACATAGTTTTTTTAACAGATTCAATATGGGCTGAAAAGTGACAAGGGGGGATTGGGCTGGGACTGGGAGTGTGGTGTTGATCAAGAAAATTTTGTAGGTGATTAGTCATATTCTGTTTTTGCAACCAAGTTTTTGTCCTGAATTAATATTTTATTGATCAATCCATTAGATAGCTGACCATTACTGAGGAGAACTTCTTATGGTTGGGATGCAATTGCAATACACTTAGGCCCCGTTTGGCTCACAGGAATAGGGGATCTGGAATTGGAATCGGAATGGGTTATTCTGATTCAAACTGTTTGGTTGGGCGGAATCTGAATCCCATTCCTATTCCTGCTGGAATGGCATTCTCCCATTTGAGGGAATGACCATTCCCTGCCCCTCCCTTGGGAATGAAATTCCATTTCTGCTGATTCTAATTTCTATTTCCATTCCTATTTGAACCAAACAGACTATAGGAATAGACCATTTTGATTCTGATTCCAATTCTGACTGTGAACCAAATGGACCCTTATAGGATGCAACAAGACGATTCAATCATAAGATAGGGATTGTATTTTCTAAGTGTCAACCTACACTACCTTGTGGTCATGGTTCAATACTCTGCATACTCAAAAATCATGTCTGCAGAGTTTTTAACAATAGATAATTCTATTTTATTTTTGTTTTTCAGTTTCACAAATTCACAAGTAAATGATTCAAGTGGGCTTTGACCAATCAAAACTCCTGTGGATTTTGATAATCTATGATACCAAAAAGACATGGTATTAAAGTTTTGACCAATCAAAGCACCCATGAATTTTGATGAACATTACCTGGATGTAAGTTTTTCGGATTTTATGTCTTTATGGTATCATAGGTACAAGGTTTTTGTTATCATGTCTTTCCATTGTCATAGTCGAGCTCTTCTAATTTTTTAACCTACTAAAAATCTCTAATTCCAAGTATTTTAACGTTTTGGTGATCCTGAAAACTGAGACACCGTACAATCAATACTTTGAGTGAGTTTTCAATTCTCATGTGGCAGAATTCAGAAAAATTGTCTTTCTATATTGTCTAGTAAGGTTCAAAATATCGATATGTTCGATACGCTGATAGGGGTGTATCAGGTAAATCGATATTTTTTTTTTAATTTTTTTTCAAAACTGGTTCAGGGGGGCCTGTTTAGAGTTCCTCCACTCCCTTGTCAAACCCCGATACACCCACTATAGGGGCACTATTGGAGAGGTCCCAGAACGATATGTGGATACTTTGAACCTTGCTGCCTAGTACTAATCTTCTGCATATGTAGGATATAAGATTTGATCCCCTAAGAGGCCAAGATCATTTTGATGCCAATGCAGCCAAGCATAAAATGTTACATGAACAGATTAACACAGCAAAATGATTGTAGAAATAGAGCAGTAGAAGTTATCTACAAATCAGGTCGACAATAGTTACCTAATATAGGGAAATTTTCTTTAAAATATCCCTAAGTTTTAGGAAATTGACTAGTTTTACTTTGTTGTTTACAAAGATACCCTTGAGTTTTTTAAAATTTGATTAAATCCTCCCTACTGTTAGCACCTGTTAATAGAAAGATGAAAAAGATTATTTTGCCCATCATTGATACCTTGTTGGAATTAAGTAATTGTTTCAATAGTCCAAACTCCAACCCCCCCACCCCACCCCACCCCACCTACTGTTAGCACCTGTTAATGGAAAGATGAAAAAGATTATTTTACCCATCATTGATACCTTTATTTGTTTTAATTTTCTTCTGGTTGGAAGAAGTTGCAGAGTTTTTACTTCAACATTGATTTTGAACGCAGAAAAGTGGCATCTGGTTCAAAGGACACTAATGGCTGTCTCCATAATAGTACTGACACTATCTCCTGCTTATCGAAAGACTCCAACAGCTCGTTTCCAGAAGCGTGATGGACATTTTCCTATCCATCCATACATATATGCATTCTAGAAGATGAAGACCCATCATCACAAGCAAATTTCCTTTCTGTCGAACAATTTTTTTTCTAAAAGCATTAATGATCAGGATGATGCCGCCATAATTTTCTTCTCAATCTTATCTCTTTCGAGTGTGATCGATCGATAACTGATCAACAGAGAGAGCTAGCAGGAGAGCAGCAAAATATGAGAAATAATAAACAATATAATGATCGATATCCTAGAATATTTATAACAAATCGTTAGTTACAAAGGCAATATTTTTCGAGGAGAGCATTAATGGTGACCCACGCATTAATCTTCCTTAATGGAAACGTCATGAAAGGCCTAGCTTCAACTGTTACCCACTTCACCTCCTGTTCATGACTCAAGCAAGCTTTCAGCCCAGCAGAATCCGTCACATGGCACAACAAAGCAATATTTCATTTAAGTAATATATATATAAGAAGAAGAATATTCATGGCTGCTTAATTAGTCAGTGCTGGAGAGCTGAAGGAGATTGGGCTATTCAATTTTCCAAAGGTTTATTATTCCTCCTTCCCCCTATATCTAATCAAATCTGTAGATTTTGGTCATTGTTTCTCTATGTGAATGAAAGTGAGGCTAATATGCATCAATTTCTAATTAAACTGTTAATTAAAATACTCTTCCATTGTTTGATTGTTAAGAATCCAACGTTAACCCTCTCCCTCTCTCTCTCTCTCTCTCTTCTATATAAACGTGTTTGTGTGAATCTCATTCCCATAAAGATATATGCCCAACTCATTCGATCAATACAACAGTAGTGATGGAAGAAAGAAAGTGATAATTAAAAAGTTGTTAGAAAGACCAAACAGTACCCAACCAACCCCAGTTTCCCAGCAATAATAATTAATTCACGTGCCCATTTCCTTCTTTTCCATTAATTGATAGTTAATTTAATTTCATCAGGTGTTGGAGATTTGAAGTTGTAGTAGCTTTCTGATGTCGGCAAACTCGTCTGAACAGAAGTAACCAAATGCCTACTTTCTCTCATCTTTTAGGGTTTGAACTTTTGAAGCTGCAATGATCAGTTCTCAATTTAAATTGAACTATGGATCTACTAGTTCCTCTTAGTGCTCTTAATTACCTTACGATAGTCTCACCTTTTTATCCAATGAGAAGGTGCAACTCTACACGCATCGCATATAATTTCGCGTGGACGTGGTTATTGTTGCTGAGCTGAGAGCTGCTGCTTTAAATCTTAATGACGTGATCATCAGTTCAGCTCACTGCATGGGACTGTCCAGTGTCCACTCGATCACTAGGAAGGCACCCATCCAACGAACTCTGTAATTACCATGTTCGAAATACGGTTTTATTTTTTATATATATAGCATGAAGTTAATAGTGTTTTAATTATATTTAGGGTCATATTATGCTGGTCCAACATGATTCGATTTATACCTTTACTTTAATCTGCCTAATATTGGGGATGGGGCAGGGAAATTTGAAGATTCTTCATCTTTGATGAGCAATAGGATGTCTTTCCCTAAACTTGCCTGACGTTAAAGAGTGGCTGCCTTGCCTTGAACCCACCTAACACTAGGGATGGGATAACGTCTTGACTATGGGRCAGGGAAAGGGATGGGATGCCCCACCCTGAACCAACCCTGTTGTCATTCCTATATAATTGTTAATTATTAGTGAAATTAATAAAAATATCAGCTTTTATAATTGCATTTATTTATTTAAAGTCAATCAAAATTTTAAATCTTTCATATTTTCACACACGAGTCCCTCCTATTTCAAATAACGACGATAATGAGGAATAGGGCCATTGTGTTTTCTGGCGTCACGCTTATGAATACGCCTTTATTCCCCTCTCATGACTCATGACTCATGACTCCCGCTTGGGGAATTGGGAACATCCCCCATTTTTATCACTAAATAATATTGGAGTAACGCTAAATACTTGCTCCCTAAGCCCCTCTTGTAGTCTGTGGGTGTCAGTGGTTCCGGTCAAGTGATAAACCCGTATCTATTTATATTTAGGGATAGTAATTTTTATTCTATAATTGCCTCTATCCTTTTGGACAAGGGCATGTTTTTTTTCAGGGTTTTGGAGTAGAGACAAATTTTGGAATTCTAAAATCTCAGTGGATAGGATATGATATTATGCTAAATCCGACCCGTATGTTATTGGAAAGCATATAAACTTTATATACTAAGTCTTAAACTTAATAATATTTTGAATTTTACGTGAAGGATAATTGTTAGTTTATGTGTTTTTTATATGCCTAAATCAAACGATTGGAAATTTTGTTGTTTATTTTATGTTATTTTACTTATCTATTGATTATATATGACAAGAAATAATAAGAAATTAGATGTGAGTTCTAAACTCAACCTGCACCTATCCTTGAATGCGGGGAAGATAGGGTCGAGGGAGGGTTTTAGGCCATGTTTGGGAGTGCTTGATCCCAAAAAGCCATCTAGGCCAAAAAGCACTCCCATGGACTATGTAGCTTGATCCCAAACTAAGAGGGGTTGAGTTTGTGTTAGGCCGTGTTTGGGAGTGCTTAAAAATAAGTGTTTATTTGGGTTAGGACCACACCATTAAGCACTTATTGGTGTTTAGGAAATAAGCCTGAAATAAGTGCTTATTTTAAAATAAGGGCTTATTTTTTTAAGCCCAAAATTATAGTTTTTTTTAAGTGCTCATACAATAAGCACTTATTCAAATTTGTTCTCCCGGAATTGTCCACATTAAATTTTTAGAATGCCAATTATACCCTTTCAATATTGTTACCTTTAAGAAAGTAGAGTACTTTTAGGAAAGTACTTTTACATGAAAGCACTTCTATAAAAGTATTTTTTTGAAAGCACTTTATAGAAGTACTTTTATAAAAGCACTTTTACGGAAGTACTTTTATAAAAGCATTTTTAGAAAAGTACTTTATAAAAGCACTTTTATGAAAATATTTTTATAAAAGCACTTTTGTGAAAGAACTATTATCAAAGTACTTTTATGAAAACACCTTTCCGAAAGTATTTTTATAAAAGCACTTTTACGAAAATACTTCTATCAAAATACTTTTATTCATTCACTTTGGTTTGGATATTTTAAAAATTTGAAAGAAAATGAAGGACAAAAAAACCACAAGTGCTTTTTTTTTTAAATAAGTGTTTATTTTTTAAAATAAGCACTTGAAAAAATTGAGTGCCAAATACAAATAAATACTTATTCGAATATACACTTATTTTTAATTAAGCACTTATATTTAA